ATATTCGAGTTGCCCAAATCATGAAAAATCTTTGGTATGTTACCGTTTTGCATTTTGGCACGACGAACTTAGGACTGTTATTGGCGGAGGATCTAGTCAATCTGGAAGTGCGGATAGTTGGATGTAGTGATGCTTCGATGATTACTAGTTTGTGAGTTATTTTATAAAAGAGTACCATGTCTAGATATTCATGCCAATAGCAGATCGGTAAGAGTCCTAAAGTTTGAAGTCTGGTGGTGTAGTCAGTAGAGGAGGAGAATGGAAGACTAAGGATGTATTTGGTTGCTCTTCTTTGAGTTCGTTCAAGGTGGCGTATTAGTTCGGTGGATTGTGGTGCCCATATTTGGGTAGCGTACCCCAGATGTGGCCGAACTAGTGCAAGGTATAATGTGCGTCTCACTTCCTGGTTGTGGATATAGATTGTGGATCTCCTGATGTAACCCAATAGTTTATTTGATTTTGCTGACTGCTCGTACACTTGTCTATTCCAGGTTAAGCTTTTATCCACAAAAACGCCGAGATCTCGTTCACATTCAGTCTGCACTAAGTTTCCGTTGTTGGCACGCAAGACAGTGCCTAAGCTAATTAGGCACGCTGCTGCTTAAGTTCAGTGTACCTAGTGTCATATATCCTTGCAACCGATAACATTTGCCGACCGGCACAATTTTCAAACAGGATGACCGTGCATAAGTGTGCGTAACCGTGCATTATTTAGCACTCTGCTTTAATGAAGAATGTCAACAAAACTAGTAAAATAGGTGTCTGGTTTCAAATTTTGGGTTTGATACATAAGCGTTTGCTGCGTATATGTTCACGTCAAAATCAGTGTAGATAAAACAAATAAGGTGATTGCTTGTGTTCTATTGACGCCAGAATGATTATGTAAAGTTATAATATTGCCGTATACAGTAATTTAGTGCATTCTTGCCGTTAGGTTTTGTATTTACCAGTACATTTATTTTATGTATAATGTGGCAGTATACAATGAATTGTGAACCAAATATTTTATATACATAGTGATACAGGCATATATAAATAGTGTAGTTTCAATTCAATATACAGAATGAATATTCGAACCCGACGGTCCGAACGGTCCAACCCCCGATTGGGAATTTTAGTATAGAAATCATTTGGCGTCAAAATCAACATGTACTAACAACAAAAATAATTTTTTCACAACACAATCCCACTCATTGGCATTGTCATTGACACATTGAATGTTATACATGCACAAAGTCAAAGGACGAAGAGTTACACACTAAGAAATAATTTTCAAAAGTGAAGAGATTAGAAATACATTAAATAAAACTTTTCTAGCTTACTATATAAGTTATTACACTGACTTGTATAATTTCCTTTTCGCGGTTGATCTTTATTTTCTGGTTTTCTGTCAACCACTAGCGAAGTAAGGAAATGCGTAGATAATAAGGAAAAGGTGTATAAGTCTGTCCTACGCTTTATAGTTGTCACTTTATAATATAGAAATCATTTAGCATCAAAATCAACATCAGTACTAATATTAATAATAACAAAACTAATTATTTCACAACAAAATTTTATCATTAAATGTTACACAAAGTCAAAGGACGAAGAGATACACAAAAGAAATAATTTTAAAAGTGAATATATATATGTATTAGGCACGCTGCTGCTTAAGTTCAGCGTGCCTAGTGTCATATATCCTTGCAACCGATAACATTTGCCAACCGGCACAATTTTAATATAAATATAAATTTTATCTGGTTTTCTGTCGACCACTGTCACTGAAGTAAGGAAATACATAGATAAGGAAAAGGCGTATAAGTCTGTCCTATGCTTTATAGTCGTCACTTGAGCGAAGTTTTATATATAATCAAACACTGATATTTAAGGTGAAAGGCCATACGGCAATTTTCAACCTAGGGATAGAGAACAAATTACAAAACAAATTATTTTCTACTTTGGAGTAAAAACAGCGGTTTTACTATGACTACGCTCAGACATCAAATAGCAGGTTTGCAACCAAAAAAATTCGCTTTGTGCTTCTTTCCTCTTGATAATTCACTGGAGCCATGCAAGACGTCATTGATCAAAGAGGGGTCAGCACGTGAGGGAAAAATGGTTCGGCTTTATTGCGATAAGAAAAACCCTGATTTACCAGCCAAAATGATCTTTTTAGAAGGTAAGATTGTATTGTATTAAATAATTACATTGTTTAGTGTATTATTTGCTATAATATATTGTATTAATGTGAATACTAACGAGTAACGGCAGTAAAATTGATTTGTCATGGTAAACAGCATGCATATAAGCAATAGAGAGAAGACATGTGTCTACTTGTCAGTTTACCCAATTACAGATGACTTGAAAGAATTGGGAAAAAAAAGAAACGAAGTTCTCAAAGACAACTTTAATACTTCAATGACTGCGGGAGACAAAGAATTTATTGAAACTTGGAAAAAAAAACCATGTCAAGATGCCCACTAAATGACCAGTACAAAAACATACTGAATCAAAATCAGCTGACACGAAAAAGAAAGCAACATGCCTAGACCTAGGGAAGCTGCCAGTCGTCACCACTAGCCAAGAAATTGTAAGTGTTGCTGATGAAAGCAATAACATTTCTCCTGTCACTGCTATATGACCTCTAAGGGGCGGACCATTTGACTTTTGAGGGGCAGGGGGTGGAAGATTTCGAAAAAAAATTTCCTGCAACCCAAGGAGAAAGAAAAAAAATCATGCAGCACACAATCGAGAAAAAAAATATCATGCAAAAGAGAGCGCTCAAAAAAAAATTTTCTACATGTAACTCTACTGATGCTCTTCACTTCAGTATTGTGTCCACAGGCTTGCAAGATTTTGCATTTTTGAGCAGGCACATTTGCTTAAAAGAACACGGGGTGAACAGTGGATAACATCACAGGGATTCTACCGCCTTTGGAGCCTCTGACATACGATAGCCAGTGGTGTTCCCTGGCAAAATTGTTGCCCCCCCCCTGAGAAAATCTGGGCTTAAGATAATTATGTACAAGTTTATAAGTTATTTATACATATCTAATATGCATGGTAGAAAAAGTATTTTTGGATGGTTGAGTCTGTGTGCGTTTTTTGATAACATAGCTCCAAACTATTAAAGCTTCAAAGGCCCATCTACAGGATGCAAGTTGAACGTACTGTATATACGATGATTTTAATGCGAAAATGCCAGTTTAGAGAGTCTAGATTTTAAAAAATTTCTGAAGAGGATGCAACCCGATCCCCAACAAGCTATCTGTATGAACGATTGAAAAGCTACAGAGCTATATTTGGTGGAACATTGTTGTTTCGGAGGGCAGTTAAAAATTGCATTATTGAAATCTTGTTTTATTACATATTAATCAAAGCTCATTTTGTGATTTTCCCTTGTTTAAAATAAGGGACAGTAAGTGTTCCTTAGGCTTAGTACAGCAAAGTTGTTGTGGACGAATCCATGGCTGAAAACGCAGGAAATAGCATTTCCGAGGTTCAAATTTTAAAATTTTCTCGGGGGAGCATGCCCCCGAACCCCCCAAGGTTACAGGTCATTCATATACTGTACCCTCCCCCATTTTCGAGTACTCTACTCTATCCCTGCATGTTTTAGGTTTTGGTGCAGTTATACATTCTTTGTAAGTAAACTTGCATGCTTTAGTGTGGGGAACATTAAGACATAACCATATAAAATAAAGCACAGTGAAAATTCCTTGGCCCCTCTTGGGATTCAGTTCTCGGCCTCCTCTGACTGAAAACCCCTGCTACGTCTCCGATGATAGCTATATGAAAGCCTAAAGTTACTGTAAGCCGTTATTATGAGAGGCAAAAAAATATCCTGCCGCCAAATATATTGGGAAAAAAATATCTTGCGCTGCACTTTTACAGGAAAAATATCTGTCTTGTTCACCTGGGCGGAAAAAAAATTCTTGCACAGACTGAATCTTCCAGTCAAAGTCAAGTCAAGTCAAATGGTCCGCCCCTAAGTCCTCTAACGAATCTTGCAACCACCAGTGCTTCAGCAGTTCCATCCGTATCTGCTGCTTCATCTGTTTTACCTGCCACCGTTGTTTCATACAACAATCTTTCAACTGCTGCACCCATTATTCCTTCCTCGTCTATTTTACATTCAACTGTTTCTTCATCGTTCACCACTCTTCCATCATCGTACACAGTTCAAACATCCATCCTGTCGTATCTATTCCAAACCACAATCGTGAATCTATTTTGCCCACCATCACATTGCCTCTAGCATCTTTTCCACGAAGTTTAGCTGCCTCAAATAATATATTTTCTGTTCTTCCTTTGGTCTCATCATCTTTTAATTCCACTGTTCAATCATCTCTCCCAACTTTGAGTTCTAACTTACAACCCGTAACTCCCGTAACCCTCAGTCTAACATCTGATAATAATATTCCATATTCCACATTCTTAAGCGAGTTACATGCGCCGTCCTTCAGTCCAGAATCTACAAACTCGAATGCATTTTCTTTGTCTTGGAATAGTTCTTCCCTTAATAATCTCTCCTTTGATTCGGTTGGGCAATCAGAGCCCTGGGTTTCTACTTCTGTGCAGTCGGGTTTACCAGCCGGATTTTTGGAAGAAATTAATTTCCCACATTCTCGCAGCCCAAATAATTTCGAAAATATTTTGCCTGGTCACGCAGAACACCCACTAATATTGAACCAAATAAACAAGAAAATGGATGGCATTTTTCAAAAAGTTGACGCGGTGTTGGCAAATCAATGACTGATCATTGATTGCCTGCAAAACAACGGCTTCTTGAATCGTCCCAGTACCAGATTGTCTGTCCCTGAAGCAGCTGAGCAGAATCGGATTAATTTAACTAACCCACCTGACGAATCCCAACACTATGGCGCTGAAAACGCTCATGTCCACGGAAGAGAACTCACATGAACAATGCTCAATGCTCTGAACTTAAAGAAAAAAAGAGGGACAACAGATGCTTATTTTGCAGTGTTGTTATTAAAGGAGTACACAACGTGTGAAGAGCACATAAACTGTACTGTGTATGGAGTGGGGCTCAAATCAAAAGGATTAAATACAAATACCTTAATGAAAATTAAAAAAGGCTACGAACATTTTTATTCGAACGAGTCATGGGGTCATGCTATAAAGGCAATGAACAATCACATGAGAAAGTGCTGTTCTGCAAAAGACCCTGAATAACATGTTTCAGTGGCGTAGCCAGCCCGACAATTTAGTCCATTCAAAATTATCATTCATTTCTTTAGAAATTGATTGTTTTCACAGTCAATAAACATGAAAATATTTGCATAGCGGGACTAAATCGTCGGGCTGGCTAAACGCTATGTTTCGGGTAATTGCTATTATAAATCAGTCCTTGCCTGTTTACAATCTAATGGGATCGATACTGTGACTCCGTGACTACATTTTATGACAATTTTATGAGTTCTTATCGCTCTATATTGTATACACGAGTTTTAGCATTTTGTTGTGCCATGTCATTAATAAAATTTCATAATTACTAAAACGTTTTCGTTTTTGAACCTTACTAACATCTTATTACAGGTGACGCTACTCTGTGGGAAGCACCACATGCAATTAGCTGAAAATGCTTGCCCTGATAATCATGGTCGGAATCAAACCAGCGACCTTTGGTTTTCTATAGTTCGATTCCCACAGCGCGGATGTGGTTCCTCTCGAGTAGCGTAACCTGTAATAATTCACCTGAGTTCTAACACCACGGCAACCACAGTTTTCACATATATAAAACATAGCCTATAGCGTAAAAGCTATTAAAATTGCTGTCAAGAGATAATTAACCGGGATTAGCATGAAATTAAGGTGTGAAGCTATAATTATTTACAACTGTTCGCTGCCAAATAGGAATGCTGTACTAAACCGGACATGATTCGACAACGCCACACGATTTTTTAGTTTTTGAAAGTTAATAAAACAGCCAATGAGAGCAAATTTTAAAAGATATGTAGACCAATAATAATAATAATAATAGTTAATGTTATAACGCTTCTAAATATTTAGAAAATTTAAGCTAGGATCAAAGTTATCGGTCAGTGAAAATCGAAAAATCGTGTCGCCTTATCGAATCGCAACCGGTGTGTCTGTACCTTTAGATCTAAAGTAATGAACAGTCACCAGACACCAGCATTGGGAAAACAGCATATACTGCATAATATGCACAATAGTGACTACAAAATACTAGTTTACCCATTGCATTGGGTAATCAATGCTGTCTATGGTGGAATTTGTCACATAATATTTATTTAGTGGAATTTGTCACATATTTAGCGTGCATGTGTTTGACCTGGCAATATAACAGGCTGCGTAATGTACTTGTGTGCGCCATATGTGTATTTATTCCGCATTTATGTGAAAGAAATAATGCTCTAATAATGATATTTTTCAACATATTTCCATTATAAACACGTGGCATGTAAGTTATGTGACTTGCTCAAGAAAGTGCAATTTCATGCTCACTCAGAGTGGAAAATATATTATTGTGCCGCATATGCACATACGTATAAAAGATTTCTCACCACACTCTCTTCAAAGTCAAGATATGAAATTTGATATGCGCAAACAGTATAGGTACGAAAGGCAGATATTATAATAATATTACAATATTATATTGTATTGTTATTATAATATGTTATATTACGTGGAACAGATAATAATACAAAATTATCAACTTGACCCGAGCATACAAAAATTCTGCGCATTAAAATATGCTGTGTCATGCACACAATGATAATTGCTTAAAATCCATGCAAAGACTCGAGTATATCCATATGTAGCACTTCGGAAATTTCGTATAACAGTGGTTGTGCTTGGATATTGGATACGCGCAATTCGGGACAAATATACCTGACGGTTGCAGCATAAACTGCAGCTTTGTTCTCTCTTACTAGTTCGTAATAGGGAGAACTTGAAGCTCGCTTTCTGGCAAGGAAATATCCGCGAATGATCTCGGCTCCTGGTGGGTATGTAGCTCCCCAATCATCTCTTTCCTCAGTCGATAGCACCTCTGGGCTGTCTCCAATTATTTGAAGTAAATAATACTCCTCTCCTCTGTCAGCAGAAGCAATAGCGACAATTGCATCTTTCGTTGCTAGGTGTTTTATTGCTTCTAGTGTCGTAGAAACGTCCCCTCTGGTAACGACAGTGGGTTGACGACCACCCTCTCATTCCAGTTCTTGCTCTTCCCAGTCATCAACATACGCAGAATTTTCACATGATTCGTAGGACCAATCTAAACATGCGTCGCAGTAACATGACAGAAACCTCTAACTTAAACTGCAACCGCCGTCCGTTGACACGACTGCATGGATAGATCTTCCCCTTGATTTCTTTGAAATATCTATCTCTCCGGTTGCGGAGTATTTCATCGTCATAGAAAAATATACGCCGTTTCACTTTAACTCTTACTCAGCTGCCCTTGCCGACAGCAGGTTTCGCATTACATTACGAGTCAATGTTTCTAATGTAAATATCTCGGCGAGTATTTACCCCCCTTTAAAACAAAACGCACCATTGAAATCCTCTCGAAATAACCTTTCAAACGGGGGGTCAAGTGCCGTCATAACATTACACAAACCAAAACAATCATATATTTACACTCACCGCTTGAACAAACATTCTGTTCGATATATCGAGAAAAAGTTGAATATTTTCTAAACTATTTGTCATTTTCTAAAAGCCTATATGAGTAAAAGATTCTTAGTATTCAAGTGCTTTCGTGTAGAACGTTTCGTATGAATACAGCGAATAGAAATATTTATTTTGAATTTTTCAAGGATATCGGGTTTTACTCGCACACTCCTTTAGCCGGGATGACGTGAAACTCGCGCGTATAGGTGCAATTTGACCTGTAGAATCCATTTCTGACCTTTCCATGGTCATACGATACAAACATTGCATTGTTTCAACACTTTTAAGTCATATTTCCGGTTTGGATAAAATCAAACTCGGACCAGAAATGTAAATCTGGTAATACATGGCTAGAATTTACAGATAGAACTTTGAAAATAAGACAGTATACAGCATTTTGAATGGTTAATCGAACAAAAGTGTCACAATGAGCATACATCTCAAAGGGCCTAAGTTATGTTCGGCGAAAGGTATGTTTATGTTTATAATTTGTTAGTAATATTGCATAATTTGATCATATACGAGCTTGCTTGACTTTCAAAGCTCATAAATCGCTATAATGTTGCCATTGACTGAAACTATTGTTATGAATAAGTACATATTTTTACACTGAATCGAATGGTATTTTCAACGACATAGCGTTTATTGAATCGAAGATATCAACGAAAACATCCATAGATCCTGCACGTTCTACGCGTAATGGTACCGGCTGAGAAAGAGTTAACACTCTCAGACTGGTATCGCGAGGGCGCTGGATCTTTCACTGTACTCTCAGCGAACTCGTACAATTCTTTCGCATTTCGAATGACAACCTACATGAAAGAAAAAAATATGGTTTTGTTAAGAGTTAAATAGTTTAAGGCCATCTTACACAAGGCAACTTGCAATGCAATTTCTGGCACAGGGCGTAAATTTTGCATAACATGGCTCTGAGACTGTGCACAAATTGCTCTTGCCAGTACAGGGTGTATTATAAAAAACGGAGTCCTCGCTTCAAATATAAATTTTGAAACAAATATTAAAGCAAAACGTTCAGGTTTACATTTATTTTAAAGCGTAGACATTCAGCTTTTCAACGGTAGGTTTTTTCGTAAATATAATCCAGAAGTTCGTGAATAATAATATTTTAAGTGATTGCGATTGGAGAGTCAAAAATTTGAGATGCAATAACAAACCGGTACTTGATGAAAATAACTTATTTTGTCAACAAAACGAGCAAATTGAGGCATTTTGGCAATTGCTTGTAAAAATCAAGTAATAATGGCTTCCAATACACTATTTTAAATTAACTTGCTGACTTCAAATGCGTTATAATACCGGCTGAAGCATGTTTTAGCTTGCTGTCAACTTGCTAATTTAAATTTACATTACCGCCCGATTCGATGGTGCTCGTTCGGACAATGCATGGACGTAAGGTTGTTTTGATGATTTCTGGAAATAATATAGGATTTTGAAATAAATAAAACAACCTAATCTCTTTTAGAATGTTTTTAACAAGTTCTTACTAGCTTTTCTGATGTGGCAACAAGAACATTAAAGTTTGAACAAAAAAATTCAAACATTGCAACCAACTATGGAATAACACAGTAAATTTGTATAATTAAGCGGCATCTAAACATAATAGGTTTTACTAAATTTTCTCCTGTGCATTTATTACTTGCACTAAAGACACAGATGACCATTTGGTCGAAAGATAAATGAACAGGCTTTAAAATAAGCCTAAAACCGTTTTATTAGAAGTAGCAGTCCAAAAGTTATTAAGCACAAAAGTTGGACTCCATTTTTTTTATACACTCTGTATATAGTTGTGACTTTTATATAGTGCTAATGAAAACAGTATAGTAGGCAATTTATAGACAGGGTCTGGTTGTATGAGTTACTGTAGAGTTAATTATATATATATATATATATATATATATATATATATATATATATATATATATATATATATATATATATATATATATATATATATATATATGCCGCGAAAGTTAGCCAATCAAGACCAGGGATTTCAGAGTTAGGCTACTACCATTTAAATTATCTGCGAAATGGATGAAGAATAGCTAAGATCATGAGTGAGTCATTACCTGCCGTTTAATGACAGCCATGTCAGCTTTGTGTTTAAGGTTAGCTCCGGCACCGTCTTGAGGACCTTTTGCATGTGAAGTTTGAAAGTAGTTACAGATGGTTACGTAGCCAAAATCTGAAGATGATTGGGAAACGTCGCCCATACAGTGACGGCTTTTGTACTGCGTCGAGCATCCATCCGTCCATTGATGCATAATTTTCACGTCATAACCTATATAATTTTTACAATTAGCTTAATTTCTTTTTCCCTAAAATATTGTTACAATTATTTCCCCATGCCATTGAAATTTTGAAAAACTTGGCCTTATTGAGAAATTCCTGTGTTGAATGGGTTAAATAACTCAGTACGTGCCTAGACCGTGCCTAGCCGTGCCAGACCGTGCCCGTGACATACTGAGTTAATAAACCGAATATTGAACCTGCAACAGAAATATTACTTAAACCAAAATTTAGCCATATCACTATGCGGAATATACTACAAATAGCTCAGTAACTTGCATAAGGCTGTATATAGACCGTGTCCAACCTACTGAGTTATTTATAAACCTAATATCTTAAACCAAATTTTAGCTATATCAATGCGGAATATACTACAAATCAGCTCAATTGACTCACATGTATAAGGCTGCATATATAGAACATGCCTAACCTTGCTAGACTGTGCCTGGCCTAGTGGCTATACTTAGTCAATTGATGAACGTCAACTCTCAACAAATAGTACTAGTTCTTATTAAATTAACCAGATTTCAAGCCATATCACTACGAACCTAACATTTTAAACCAGTTCAACGATATTACTGCGGAATATATAATATTGTAATTAATAACGCTTATACAGTTTTAATTTCATACCTATTTCCTTGAGATAACCAGCCATGAGTTTTCTAGCGCTATGTACCGAGGGGTGGTCATGATTACAGTTGGGAGAGATTACAAAAATATGTTCTGTTACGGGGATGGGTTTTCTTCTGTGCTTTCGATTCTGTCCACATTCATCAGAGCATGGCGATGTAGAATAGTAACGTGAATCGATGCTTGGACTTGGGCGAAGTAAAGGCATTGGATCTGATCCTGCATCGCACAGAAGTAGTTTTTTGAGTAATAGCCGGTTCCCCTTATTGCGTAGTCTGAATACAACTACCAGCATGCTTTTCGGACGTGTTATTGCACAATGAAGAAAATACCCGCAAAGTATCATGGTAGTTGTATTCAGAATACGTAATAAGGGGAACCGGCTATTGTGAATTGCCACGGCATGGCCAATTGGTATATTCTCGACTAGCTCACGAAGCTGCTGATTTTGCCAATTAGCTCGGAATTGGTGCGCAGGATAGGTCTGCAGGAGATTTTGAAAGCAAGCAAACATTTCACCTGGGGAAGTCAATATGTCAACTAACTTGTCTTGTTATCATCGTTAACACCAATGACAACATACTCGAACTTTTGCCATTTTACTAACGGTGCAGCGTTCAGTGGAATCATTTTCTTTCTCCAATATTTTAAAGTCCGCTACTCCGCAATTTTTGCACTTCCGAAGAAGGCAGTCTTGGATGATGGTATTCTTAATTTTGTAGTTTTGGACACAATGCATCGTTGACCAAATCAGTCGTATGTTTGTACACCACGTACTCTTCGGGACAGTGATTGAGTTGTTGTCTGAATTCCATGCATGACTGGAAAAACCATCCTAGTTTCAACGTGTATGCGGCAGCAACAAGAAACTCTATCTTGGGACCGTGGAGTGGAAATATAGAAGGGTTTGCAGCTTTCAAATGAATGCTGTCCCATTTGAATATCAGGATACTTCTGTTTGAACTCCAGGTATGCTTCAGTTTGAGTTTTCTCCAGGATTTGTTTGGCGTGTGTTACGTATGTTTTGGGTGCTAACCTCTTTCTTACAATGTCTTTTTTATTGGGGGTTGTCCGGGAAATATCGGGGCTAGACCAAAAGTCGTGCGCGAGCTTTTGATGTTCTGTGGGGATTACATCAGACCTAGTTCGCCGTTCTGTATAGGTCCAACAAGATTTCTTGCTTTTAAGTACTTTGGTGCGATGGTTAAATGCTTTACCAACACGTTTCCTATTTATATTAAGCATTTTCGATACTTTCGTCTTCATACGTTTCTTTTGAATTGTTTCACCACAAAGAAAGCCAAGAGCTGTCTGAGTAGCTGCCCGAGAGTCGTTAGATCGTTGACCTTTTGTGTCGCTAATGGCATCTTGCACGTCGCGCAATGCAGAAACAGCAACTTCAGCTTCTTCACTTTTTTTTAGATTTTGATTTTGTGGCTCTTGATTTTTCCTCTTTTTGCTTTATCTCCTCTTTGGCCCTTGCCCGTTGTCGCCGTTTATATAGCGCCCAGTCATATTTTTTTGTCGCACTGTTATCAGTAACGTTTGTTTCACTATCAAGAACGCTTTGCTTTAACTCCTTGGCTTTTTGTCGCTTTTCACGATGTTAACGGTTGATGCTTTCTTTGTTCTCTTGACAATATTTTGAACGCTCTTCGTGCACTTTCTCTTCCTTTCTCTTTTTGTCCTCCCTTAGTCTTATAGTTTCACTGCTGCTAGTTTTTCCCATCTTGCCTTCGCTATAAGCTTCACTACAACTTAGTATTAGTCAGGCAACGAAAATAACAATCCAACTTTTGCATCGTGTATTGATTTACACCATGCTAAAGCGTGCCTAAAAGCCTGAACGGAAACTAGTTAGGCACGGCGTACTGTGCCTATAAAATCTTTAACTGACACGGTGCATGCATGCATGGAAGAAAAAATTTTTTCTGACACAAGCCATATCCATAGGAACTATAATATTTTGTGTCTGAAGTCTAAATGTAATTAAATACACAGAAAGAGTTTAAAATGCATCATGTAGAAATTATTGTATTGCAACTTTAATGTTTCTACAAGATATTATAGAATATATTTGTAACCGTGCGTAACCCGTGCCTAAACTCTGCCAATAAACTGCGCTTAATTAATTAAGCATTGGGTCTTTTATCTGAGGGTATATATACAACCATGAACTTATCAGAGGCGGACATTGACCGTGCGTAAATAGTGCCTGAAGGCATTTTACGCACGGTCAATGGAATGTGAAACCGTGCGTAAGCATGTCAAGAAACGGCTTAACCGTGCGAAACAATTGTATTCCACACAAAGAAAATTGAATTTAACTGGTGGAAATTGAACAGAATGTTTGAGATGCAAATGCTCATGTGAAAGAACATTAAATTTAACTATCTTGCGTGTGTGTAAAGGAATATTGTGAAGTTAAAGTTGTAGACCATATGTATTGGACAAACGGTAAACTACGAAATCATTAATTTTTGCTTACTTTTATTCAATAATATCGAGTTTTTTTATATGTATTGAACGTTTGGCATTCTCTCATCATTTTGTACCATAATTCAGAAATAGAAATAGAAATCTTTAGATTTTACATAGCCAGTATTATTAAGCATTCGCGGTATGTTACACTAAATACTGCATAAATATACCAACATAATTGCCCATTTTCAAGATTTCCACTGCATTATATAACGTTTTGAAATGTTTATGTTTAATTTAGAACTAGAAGTTTCTGTTAAGTAAAGTTTTGACTTTGGCTGGTCTTTACTTTGGCAAAAATATTACTTTGCAAATGTGAATTTGTTAGCCTCCATATTGTAAACCAACACCATGCACACAGCCTACTCAGGTGAATATGATGTTTGTGATGTTACCCTGAGTGTATATCCACACTAGGTAAGCTTGACAAATATGCCTGGCCACAGTGAGAATCGAACCTACGACCTTTGGAATACTAGCATGATGCTCTACCAACTGAGCTATGCAATTTATGCTAGAAGGTAATAAATGAGATTTAATTTCAAAATTTGGAAGTAAATTTTGAATGTTTATTTATTGAAACCTTAGAATACCTGACATTTCAGGCTACCTGCAAAGATTTGTGAAATATCAACAAGCATATATGAATGTTTTTATTATTATTTAAGCTGTGCTTTTCAATTTTGCATGTTAACCAATTAATGTTTAAGTATTAACTATCCCAGGTCAGGAGCAACCATGCAAGTTTTAGCTTATTGGTTAAAGTGTATATGCAATGAAAATTTCAATTTTGTGATTTTTGCCTTATCTGAAAATTTCATCTTTTCTGACCATTTTAATACCAACCTTGTTGAATACTTCGAACTAGAAGTTTGTGAATTTTGCGTTTAAAGTTGGGCTATGAAAATTTTAGCTGATGAAATTCCTCGCGCGGCCAAGAGGTCATGATGACGTATGCAGTGTGAGACAGCGCACTCTTCCTATCTGTAAATACTATAAACAATGTAATGTAGCTTCAACTGCATTGAATTGGAATTTTTTGATAATTTAAACAAAATCCAAATAAATCTGCCTTATGTAGATGCGATACATTGGTAAATCAATACAATGATATCACCATACGACGATTTATCGCTTATAAGCCGCCGAAATGCAAAATCAATGTTGTAGTAGCAGTGTAGGTTTCAGATGTCGTTAGTTATCTTAGTTGTGGCATATTGTAGATATTTTCGTTTTATATAGTCCATTGTAGATAGTTGGATATAGTTAGAATTTATACACTCCGTACTATGACAAAATAGGTGAAATGAAATTAATTGAAGTAAATGAAGTTCAGTATACCGGAACGCAATAAACTATTACCATTAGGAATATAAATACTAAAGTACCTCACTTCGCACGTCATACCACAGTTAAGCTTGTTGCTTGTTTACACTTCAAGTGTGTAATGTTTTCGTCTATTTGCATTTGCTGAAATGTGCTGTATCTATATACTGTTTGCACGCAATTTATTCCTTAGTCACTGGTTGTGTACTAGCTGCGTCAAATGAATACTATTCTAGGCCGTAATTAATTTAATTATTTTCTGGCCTGAATATCAGTCAAGAAATTATGTTTTCACAACAGGCGTATTAACCACCGAGGCCCGAGCGCACTATATATACGTCTTAGTCAATCATACTCACGCGACAGAGTCTGAGTGAAGATTGAAGTGTTTGAACACACCATCCTGAATGGATTCTTCCAGCAGAGGCAATCTAAAATGAACATATGAGGCCAAAAATTACAATTTGGTTTAACTCATTAATGCGCAAGCTGTTACAATGTTTCTACCTCCCAACATTCAAGGAATATGGCAAATACCAAACCAAAATGGCAATATCTCAGAAACAGTTGCATGAAAAAAATCTGGACTTTTCAACCAAATATTGATATATGATTGACCAAATTTAGTTTAAATGAACTTGCATACCTATATATATATCATTAGTTTTTTCAATGAGAATTTTTATTTGTAAAGCAAGTGACACTTTGTTTTTCATGTCGCTCATCACCTAAAGGGGCAATATCTCCATAAATTTATATTAAAACCAAAAAAAAAAATATTCACTAAATTAGTACATATCTATATTATAACCAATTTTCATCTATTGGGATATGAATTAGAAAATGATCAAAAATTATAAAATATACTCCTTTGCCCTTTTTCAAAACAACCCCAAATTTCGTCCCATTAATCCTGCTAAGAGTGAGCTGGGAAAAGTCAGCAAAGTTATTCTTGACAATATTAACAATCGCATTAAATCTTCCATCAACGTGAATCAATGGAAAAATTCCTATTCTGTCATCGATTGGTTCAAATCTGTTAATAATAAACCTAACCACATGTTTCTGTCATTTGACATTGTTGATTTTTATCCTTCAATCACCGAAGAGCTCCTCGACAAAGTTATTAGCTGGGCTAAAACCATCACATCAATCTCTGATCACCATGTAGCTGTCATCAAACACACACGCAAATCCTTACTTTTCCACCAAAATAAAACGTGGGTTAAAAGAAATAACGACACAATGTTCGATGTTACAATGGGTAGCTATGATGGAGCAGAGATTTGCGAACTAGTCGGATTATTCATCTTAAGTAAACTTGAGGCGAAGTTCGGAAAGAACCAAGTTGGTTTGTACAGAGATGATGGGTTGGCAATTTTGAAAGCGAGACGAGCCAGATCAGCAGATAAAGCGAGGAAAGAACTACACGCTATCTTTAATGATATTGGCTTCAAGATAACAGCAGAGGTGAACCATCATGTTGTC